ATATTTGAATTCTGATCTGATCCTTCCAAAATTTGGAATTCTGGCCCTATTTTTTATATACGCTGGATTTCTGATCTTATTCCTCCAAACATCGGAATTCTGACTTTATACTTTCAAGCATTGGTATTCTGGCCCTTTTTTAATAAACAATAGGATTCTGTTCTTGTCTTTCGAAGTATTGTAATTATTGCCCTATTTTTATACATACTTTAAGTCTGGCCCTGTGCTTTCAAACCTTGGAATTCCGGCCGACTCCTAATAAGAGTTGGAATTGTTATCTTATCCTTTCAAACACTGGAATTCTGGCCGTATTTTTATAAATATTAGAATTCCCATCTTTTTTTTAAAACATTGGAATTCTGGTCGTATTTTCATGTACATTAGATTTGTCAACGTATTCATTCAAACATTGGAACTCTGGCCGTATTTATAAACATTGCAATTCTGAGCTTATCTGATATTATCCTTAGAAACAGTGTAATTCTGGCCTTTTTTTTATAAAAATTGGAGTTTTGATGTTATCTTTGCATGCATTATAATTCTGGCCCTATCCTTTAAAACATTGGAATTCAGCTCCTTTTTCATAATCATTGCCATTATTATATCTTATCTTTCCAAACACTGGAATTCTTGCTTTAACAGCCCTTTTTTATATATATACTGGAATTCTGATCTTATCCTTAGAAACAGTGGAATTCGGGCCTCATGCTTTTCAACATTGGAATTCTGATCTTATTCTTTTAAAATTGGTATTCTGGCCCTGTTTTTTTAAAACCTGGAATTCTGTTCTTATCCTTCCAAACATTAGAATTGTGATCATATCCTTCCAGACACTGGAATTTTAGTTCTTTTTTATATATATATATATATATAAATATTGCAATTCTGATCTCATCCTTTAAAACTTTGGAATTCTGGCCTTATTTTTTCATACATAAGCTTTCTGATCTTATCCTTCCGAACATGGGAATTTTGGCCATATTTATAAAGAATGGAATTCTGATCTTATTCTTCCAACTATTGGAAATCTGGTGCTATTTTTATAGACACTGGAATTCTGATCTTCCGACTCCTTATAAAAGTTGGTATTCTGATCTATGCTTCCAAACATTGCAATTATAGTCTTATTTTTGTAAAAATTGGAATTCTGATCTTACCCTTCCAAAAACTGGAATTCTAGCCCTATTTTTTATATATTGGAATTCTGATCTTATCCTTAGAAACAATGGAATTCAGGCCCTATGCTTTTAAACATGGGTATTTTCGCCCTATTTTGATAAACGTTGGAATTCTCACCTTATCTTTGTAAACTATGAAATTGTCTCCTTATCTTTGCATACTTTGGAATTCTGGCTATATTTTTTATTAACATTGGAATTTCGGCCCCATCCTTATAAACACTGGAATTCTGATCTTATCCTTCCAAACAGTGGAATTCTGGCCCTATTTCTGTGAGCATTGGAATTCTGATCTTATCCCTCCAAACATTGGAATTCTTGCCCTATTTTTATAAACATTGGCATTCTGGCTCTATTCTTTCAAACTTTGGAATTGTTATCTTATTCTTCCAAACACTGCAATACTGACCCTGTTTTTATAGACATTGGAATTCTGGCTTTATCCTCTCAAACACTGGAATTCTGATCGTATTCTTTTAAAGATTGAAATTCTGGTCTCACTGTTATATTGGAATTCTGTCCCTATTTTTATACACATTTGTTTTCTGATCTTATCCTTCAAAACGGTGAAATTCTGGCCTCGTTTGTATAAGCATTGGAATTATTATCTTATCCTTCCAAACATGAGAATTCTGATCTTATTCTTTCAACCTTTGCAATTCTGGCCCTATGGCCCTATTTTAATAAACATTGGAACTGCGATCTTATTCTTCCAGTCATCGGAATTCTGTTCGTATCTTACCAAACATTGTAATTCCTGTGTTATCCTTCCAAACTTTGGAATTCTGACCTTGTCCTTTTAATCTTATCTTTGCCTACATTGGGATTCTGGTCGTATATTTATAAACATGGAAATTCTGGCCCTATCCTTTCAAATATTGGAATTCTGGTCCTGTCCTTTAAAATATTGGAAGTCCGTTCTTATCGTTCCAGACATTGAAATTTTGGCCCTGTTTAACACTGGAATTGTGAACTTATCTTTCCATAGACTGGAATTCTGGCTCTTTTTTCACATACATTGCATTTCTGATCTTATTCTTTCAGAGACTGGAATTCTTGTCTTACTTTTATAAACACTGGAATTCTGGCCCTATTATTATAAACGTGGGAATTTTGATCGTATCCTTCGACACATTTAAATTCTGGCCCTAGTTTCATAAAAATTGGAATTCTCATCTTATCGTTCCAACCTATGAAATCTTGGCCCTATTGTTATAAATATCGGAATTTTGATCTTATACTTCCAAACATTGGAATGCTGCTGTTATCGTTCCAATCATTGGAATTCTGATCTCATACTTCAAAACACTGGAATTCTGCTGTTATCCTTCGAAACCTTGGAATTCTCGGCCTATTAATAAACTTTGGGATTCTCACCTTATCCTTTCAAACATTGGTATTCTGAGCTTTTCCTTCCAAACACTGGAATTCTGGGCCTATTTTTACACACATCGGTTTTCTTATCCTATCCTTTCAAACAGTGGAATTCTGGCCTTATTTCTATTAGCATTGGAATTGTTATCTTATCCTTGTAAACACTGTAATTCTGATGTTATCCTTCCAAACACTGGAATTCTGCCCAATTTTTTTAAACATTGGAATTCTGATCTTATCCTTCCAAACATTGAAATTCTGGCCCTGTCCTTATAAACCTTGGAATTATGATCTTTTCTTTCAAAAAAACATTGGACTTCTGACCCTGTTTTTATAGACTTCTGATTTCTGACCACATCTTTCCAAACAGTGGAATTGTGGCCCTATTTATATAAGAACTGGAATTGTTATCTTATCCTTGCAAACATTTTAATTCTGACCTTATCCTTCCAAACACTGGAACAGGGTTCTCAATAGATTTTTAAGTAGGAGGTGATCACTGATAAAGTAGGAGGCTCTTCAGCAAAGCCAGAGGTGTCAAAGCAAACCATCTAAGGTCCCGGTCCGGAATATTCCTAGAATGCATGCCTATACCTGTTAGTGTATAAAGCGTTATCTGAAGCTGAGAAGTACAATAAAGTTACTAGCCTTACCGTTGCTGATGTTTGCATGTTCTATTTTGAAATTGAAGTTAGTCAAACTCCGAGTCGGAATAAAAGTCAGAATCACATTCACTCTCTTCCCGAGATAGACCCAATGCCAATATAACATCACTTTCATCAGAAATGGATTGTTGATTGAGAAAAGAATCCTCCAGAGTACTCTCTGTCTCACAAGCTTCTGTCTGACAAGCTGAATCAACTGAATGTGGAACTGCCACAAAAACAGTTGATTCTGTTTCAACAGGAACTTTAGGAGGGAGTTTCCTTCTGTTTTTCTTGTTATTCCACAGAAGAACAGCTGATTCAATCAATTCATTACATTCAGGAGAATAAAGGTCAGGGCCATTGATTGAGATTAGCATCAAAGTATTAAGCATGTCAACATTTATTCGGCTTCTGAGCCTTGTCTTCAACCTCTTTAAACAGCTTGCCCCTCTCTCTGGCCAGACATTTGACATAGGCAAAGAACTTGCAATTTCTGCGATCTGTGGTAGTAATTCAAACTGAAGTCCTTGTTTCAAGGTAATCAGCCTTTGCATACACCACTCTGTTGACGATTGTTGTCTCTTCTTAACTTCTGGCTTTTTCTTAGCCTGCTCTTTCTGCTGCTGCATTCCTGAGGTGGCAGTTGTCCCTTCTGTACAAGATGTTGATTGTGCATGAGCTGTCTTCTTCTTGGGCTTGAGTTCCTCTGGGACTTTCTTCTTCCAGTTTGCAAGATCATATTTGAATTTTCTCCACTCGTCTTTCAACTGGGTAGCCTTCACAGCAGATTCTGAATAAAAGTGGTCTGCCATTGTTTTCACATCAATCTCACCATAGTCAGAAAAACCGACACCTCCAACATCTGGAACTAGCAATGGATCAAAGACTTGAAATGCACTCACAACAGGCAAGGATTCCTGAAATCTGTCATTGATGTTGGATACTAAACATGTGATGTACTTGGATAACAGGTCGGACAGCTGCTTCTCTGTTCCCTGGTTCATTTCTAGTGGTCTAAGCTCTGACAACTTCTGTATCACTGATGGCTTAGCTGAATCGTCACAAGTATTTGGTTGGTTACTTGTGTCCTGTTGCACAGCAGAGATGAGTTGAAGTCTTCCATTAACAGGATCCAAATCAGCTTTAACATTCTTGAGTGGAGTCATCTCCTTCTTAATTTTCTTCAACCTGTCAATTGTGTAGTCAACAGATGATTGCACGGTTGAGAAATTGGTATTGCTGTACTGAAAAGTTTTACTCAATTTTGAGAGCTCTGGGAGAAATTCTTTCAAAATGTACACTGTTCCCAAGAACAAGATATCTTGCCTTTAGCAGTAGCATCACTTGCTGATAACTCTGAGAGAGTAATGAGAATAGCTACATAATCAGCATACACTGCTTGTGTTGAAGCATCAAAGGAAAGCCATCTCGTTGAGCAAGCTTTCTTCAATTTCTTATGAGCTTTCTTGCTAACCTTGTCTGACACACTCAATTTCTTCACTTCAATTTGAACTTTTAGGTAAAGTGCTGTTCTTTTGGGAGAGTTCTCAAAGTATTTCCACAGTTGCTTCATCCAATTTTGAACTGTAGTGATATACTTTATATCCTTTGCAGTATCTGTACATGAAAGAGCAAGACGGTGAGCTAAGCAATGAACATTGATGAGGGACTTGTTAACTCTTTCCTTTAAAAGTGCAGCAACACCTGATTTATGGCCCGTCATCACACTTGCTCCATCAGTAACAATTGATGCCAGTTTATTCAGCTCAAGTTTGAGAGACAAAAGCTTTGTTGTGGCAACTGTATAGATAGTGTTTGCATCAGCTGAGCTGGAGGCCTTGAGGAGGTCTTCAACAAAAAGGAAATTTGTTTTCACTTCCCCGTCATGAACATACTGTATGAAAGTTACTAATAATTCCAGAACTGAAATATCACTTACTTCATCCATTAAAATACCATAGCATCCAGCTTGAGTTGCTTGTTGTATGATTGTATCTTGGATTACTTCACCAATTGTTAGAAAAATATCACGAAGTGTTTCCTCACCTTTGTATGAAAAATATTTCATATGCTCTATTCCAGATGTTTCAAGAAGTTTAAGAAGGGACAAAAGTTTGGAGTTGGCCACTTCATGTTTTGCCAGCCAATATGCTGACATAAAAGCAGAGAACATAGTCTTGTCTCCCTTAGCAGCTCTATCTGCCACGTCCTTAGCAAACTGAGAATTTTTCTGCAGTAGCTCTGCTTCAATGGCTGCCTTGTGACGATCAGAGTCAGCATGTGATTTTAATGCAGATTTCTTATATCTCGTTCCAGGTTTCCCGGTAAAGATATCAGCCTGGTTTTGTTTATTTCTTGTTTTGTGCTTGGAGCAGAGAATGCAGTACATTCCCTTGCCTTCAGCATATAAAAGCCAAAAAAATCCAGTCTGGTGGCAGTATGTGAGCTCTTTATCAGAGAGCCATTTGTGCTGGAATTTATCTTTCTTTCCATGAAATAAACTTGCATCTGAATTGCTAACACTTTGACAATTTTGCTCGAGGCAGTGATAATATGAGTGATGTGCACAAGAAATGTCATCAACAAAGTCAAACGTATCAGAGATTAACTTTCTCATCTCACATGGTTCTATAACAGGCTTGGATAAAACTGGGTTTGGTAAAGAACAACCACTGGCACTGCTTGAAAGAGGTCGAGAAATGCTTGAGGAAGAACTTTCCATGCTTGGGGAACCGGCAGCACAAGAAGAACTGTAAATACTTGAAGGCTCACCACATTCTTCAACATTTGTTGGGGTTGGTGGGGGCTCAGGTTCTATGCCTGAAAAATAAAATGCTGTAAGGCTTGTTCCAGGAAATAAAAACAACTATAATGACAGTGATGAAAAAACTGAAAAACTTTATTAATAGTACATGATGTTGTAAGGCCTTGACGGCTTATCATATACGTCGGCTTTCAGAGTGATTAAAAATTTGTCCTGGCACTTAAGGAATTAAAATTAATATTTCAATATCAAGGCACAGTAAAATTTTAAACTTACCTTTAGCTTTCTTCGATGCGCTTTGCGAGAAGCCAAAGAAACTAGTAAGTTCCTTCTGCACCGCGTGGCGACGCTTGGCCGCCATTTTGGAACATACGGACTTGTTACAATGTTCCACCGTGAAGGCCTGGAGTCTAGTAAAATGGCGTTCATCCATCCGGTTTTGTTTGGATCACAGTCGTGCAAGAAACGAAAGAGCGATTCGGAAACAACTCAAGCAAACTTGCAGAAGAACAAAACAAAGCAAAGAAAAGCGACTTAAACACAAAGTAAGCGGCTATAAATCCCAAAGTAAGCGGCGATCAATCGCCGGGTGCCGCCTTCTATTGAGAACCCTGCTGGAATTCTGGCCCTATTTTTATAAACATTGGAATCCTCTTCTTACCCTTCCAACCCTTGGAATTCTGCCCTATTATTGTAAACATTGGACTTGTGCTCTTATCCTTCCAATCATTGGAATTCTGATCTTATCCATTCTGGCCCTATCCTTATAACCACTGGAATTATTATCTTATCTTTCCAAACATTGGAACTCTGGCCCTATTTTGATAAACACTGGAATTCTGATTTTATCCTTGAAAAGGTTGGAATTGTGGCCCTATTTTTAGAAAGGTTGGAATTCTGATTTTATGCTTGCAAAGATTGGACTTCTGGCCTTATTTTTATAAACATTGGAATTCTCATCTTATCCTTCCGACCTTTGGGATTCTGGCCCTATTGTTTTAAACATTGGAATTGTGACCTTATCCTTCCAATCATTGGAATTCTGGTGTTACCGTTTCGAACATTGGAATTGTGGCCCTATCCTTATAAACATTTTACCTCTGACCTCATCTTTCCTAACAGTGAAATTCTGGCCCTTTTTTATATACTTTGGAAGACTTTTCTTATCCTTCCGAACATTGGAATTCTTGCCCATTTTTATGAACATTGCAGTTCTCATCTTAGCGAGTTTCACCTCGCCATGTTTTTAGTTTTCTGGAGGTATACCACACATTCCAGGGACTTTACCTTTGTTTGTTGCATTGATGGCGTCCAACACTTTCTTGAATTCAGGTTTTTTATCAAGAAATACAATGTTTGGTCTCAGAGCAGTGGTGTCCAAGGCAGAGCGATCAACCTCTCTAGCTATGCTAAGTATCTTGTCAAAGTAGTTTGTAAATCTATCGAGAAGGTCAGCTTTCTCCTGTATTAGTCTCATCATCAAGGTCAGAAAGCTGTGTTTTATCCCTCCTCTGTGGCCCTTATACTTCTCTCAGACATTTTGAAAAGCTTTCATATCTTTTTTTTCTGCTACCTGCTGCAATTCTTCAGCCTTTGCCTGCCACCTTTGAGACTTCGTTTCCCTGGTGTACTGCTGTAGATTCCGTCGTGTTCCAGTCAGTTTTGCTCTGTTTAATCTAGTGTCCAGCCAAAGCTTCTACACCCTTGCATTTTTTCTTTCCTCTAACAGAGCCTTCGCCTTTTTGTTAGTATCGTCGAAACAATCCTGGTGTTTCCGATTGGATTTACTAAGACGCTGAATCTGAGAGCAGTGTCGTGTGTAGTTGCTTTTAAAAGAATTCCAGGTTTCTTCAACAACTTCTGACTCCTGATGTTGCAATCCTACCAAAGCCCTGTCGATTTCCTTGTTCATCTTCTGTTGGTTATTTTCATCTCTTAGTCTCAGTACATCAATCTTGCAGGGTCGTTTCGTAGCAGTTATGGAATGTTTTTGTGCTGATGGAGACGGCAACAACGCATGGTCAGTTAAACAGTCAGCACCTCTCATGGGTCTTGTGTTCAAGATGTCATCTTGGTCTACCTGCCTTACTGTCACATGATTTTAAAGGTGCCACTGTTTAGAGTAGGGTTCCTACTGTGTGGTCTTGTGATGTTCCTTGCGCTTGCTGATAGTGTTTGTGATGACCAGATTGTATTCCGAGCAGACCCAGATGAAGTTCACTGTTTGAGTTGCGCTTCCTAACTCTGCGCGGGCCAATCACACGTGGCCATTTGTCCACCTTTTCAACTCTGGCATTTAAGTTACTGGCTATTATCAGTTTATCAGTACAAGGAACTCTCCGCAAAACCTCTCAGATTTTTGTTGAATTCCTACTTAGTCTCTTTGGGGTTAGTCATTTTTGGAGCTTAGAAATGGTGATTATCCTGTCGCTGACAGGTGTCAGGTCTTGTTCTAGCTGCTGAGTAATGGAGTTCCCTATTGCAAAACCATCGCTAGATTCTCTTCACTCTGTTTCTCCTGCCACTCCTAAAAGAGCATGTAGCCATGATCTACCATGCTGTCGTATGACGGCAATCGAGTCTCACTTAGCCCTGCTATTTCGATGTTATAACTCTCCAGTTCTTTTGCTACCACTGTCTTCACTCCAAACATTTGAATTCGGAATGTCATCACTCCAAACATTGGAATATCGAATGTCATCATTCGTAACACTGGAATTCCAAATGTCATCACTGCAAACAACTGAATTCCGAACATGAACATTTGAATACCGAGTGTTATCACTCCGAACATTTGATTCTGTCATCATTGAATACCGAATATCATCACCTCATACCTTTGAATTCCGAATGCTATTAGTCCAAACATTTGAATTTCGAATGTTATCACTACAAACATTTGAATGGCGAACGTCACCACTCCTCTAACTTTGGAATACCGATTTTCATCACTCCAAACATTTGAATTCTGAATGTCATTACTCCTTGCTTTTGAATACCGAATGTCATCACTTCAAACATTTAATTCCGAATGTCATTACCCCTTACCTTTGAATAACGAATGTCATCACTCCAAACATTTAATTCCAAATGTGATCACTCCAAACATTTGGATACCGAATATAATCACTGCCAACATCTGAATTGCGAATGTCTTCACTTTAAACAATTGATTCTGACTGTCATCATTCCAAACATTTGAATTCCGAATCTCATTACTCCAAACATTTGAATACCGATTGTTTTCTCTCCAAACATTTAAATTCCGAATGTCATTACTCCAAACATTTGAATTCCGAATGTCATCACTCCCAACACTGGAATAGCGAATGTCGTCATTCCAAACATTGGAGTTCCAAGTGTCATCACTGCAAACATTTAAATTCCGAATGCCATCACTCCTAACATTGGAATACCAAATGTCATCACTCCAAACATTGGAATACCAAATGTCATCACTGCAAACATTTGAATTCCGAATGCCATCACTCCTAACATTGGAATACCAAATGCCATCACTCCTAACATTGGAATACCAAATGCCATCACTCCTAACATTGGAATACCAAATGTCATCACTCCAAACATTGGAATTCCAAATGTCATCACTGCAAACATTTGAATTCCGAATGTCATCACTCCTAACATTGGAATACCCAATGTAGTCATTCCAAACATGGGAATTCCAAATTGTCATCACTGCAAACATTTGAATTCCGAATGTCATCACTCCTAACATTTGAATACCAAATGTCATCACTCCAAACATTGGAATAACGAATGTCATCATTCCAAACACTGGAATTCCAAATGTCATCACTCCAAACATTTGAATTCCGAATGTCTTCGCTCTAAACATTTGATTCTGACTGTCGTCACTCCGAACAATTGAATACCGAGTGTCATCACTGCGAACATTTGAATTCCGAATGCGAATGTCATCACTCCGAACATTCGATTCTGACTGTCGTCACTCCTAACAACTGAATACCGAATGTTATCACTCCAAGCATTTGATTCTGACTGTCGTCACTCCTAACAATTGAATACCGAATGTTATCACTGCAAAGATTTGAATTCCGAAGGCCAATTTCATCACTCCGAAGATTTGATTCTGACTGTCTTCACTCCCAACAACTGAATTCCGAATGTTATCACTCCGGACATTTGAATTCCGAATGTCATCACTCCGAACATTTCAATACCGAATATCATCAGTCCTAACATTGGAATACCCAATGTAATCTTTCCAAACATTGGAATTCCAAATGTCATCACTGCAAACATTTGAATAAAGAATGTCATCACTCCTAGCATTGGAATACTGAATGTTATCACTCCAAACATTTGAATTCCGAATTTCATCACTCCTTAAACTGGAATACCGGATGTCATCATTCCAAACATTTGAATACCGAATGTCATCTCTCCAAACATTTGAAAGTCGAATGTCATCACTCTTAGCATTGGAATACCAAATGTCATCACTCTAAACATCTGAATTCCGAATCTCATTTTCCCAAACAATTCAATACCGAATCTCATCTCTCCAAACATTTGAATTCGGAATGTCATCACTCCTAACATTGGAATACCGAATATGACCACTCCTAACATTTAAATTTCAAATGCCATCACTCTAAATATTTGAATTCCGAATGTCATCACTCCTAACATTTGAATTCTGAATGTCATTCTTCCAAACATTTGCATTCCGAATGTCATCACTCCGAACATTTGATTCTGACTGTGGTCACTCCTAACAATTGAATACCGAATGTTAGCACTCCGAACATTTGAATACCGAATGTCATCACTCCGAGCATTTGATTTTGAATGTGATCACTCCTAACAACTGAATACCGAATATCATCACTACCAAATGTCATCATTGCAAACATTTGAATTCCGAATGTCATCAGTCCAACATATGAATTTCCAATGTCATCACTGCAAACATTTGAATTCCGTGTGTCATCACTCCTAACATTGGAATACCGAATGTCAGCGCTCCAAACATTTGAATTCCGAATCTGATCACTGCAAACATTTGAATTCTGAATGTCATTCTTCCAAATATTTGAATACCGAATGTCATTTCTCCCAACATTTGAATTCCGAATGTCATCACTCCAAACATTTAAATTCCGAATGTCATCGCTTTAAACATTTAAATTCGGAATATTATCTTTTCAAACATTTGAGTTACGAATGTCATCACTTGGAAAAATTGATGTCTTCACTCCAAACATTTCAACTCAGAATGTTTTAACTCCATTTAATTCAGAATGGGGGACTTCAAACCATTTTAATTCTTGTCTTTTTTTAGTCCGTGACATTTGAGGTATTTCTGTGTAATTGCAAGATTAAAATGCACAAAACTTACAGCTCCGTCACTGTACTTGGTTTTACTGGTTTGCAATCTAATCGTGCCATTTTTGTTTTTGTCTTTTCTTTTTCTTTTGCAGGAATAGCTTGGAACTCTAAATTCATTTGTATTAGGTTCCTAGACAATGAAAATAGAGAAGGACACGAAAATTTAAAGGCATTTTAAAGTATGTATTGTTCTTCTATTGTTTCACGGGTACATTATGTATTTCTCTTAGATCCATCCAATCTCCAAGATATCAGTCACTGACGCTGGAGGGTACCCTGTGTTTAATATCCACTCTAGGGTTATGCCCGGTTCCACCTGGTCTGTACTCTACCCACAAGGGCTCCCTCATGGTCCCCCTTAAATTCTAGTGACTAGGGATTATGGGCCTTATTTTGCCCATTAGTTTCTGGTGTGTTTTTGTGTGATATACAGCGTAGAACCTTTATGCGAAACCATCCGCTGATCGGAAGATTTTATTGACAATTTTCCTAGTCCCTGCGTCTCATTATTCCCGCAAAAAAAAACTTTATATGATACATAGACAAAGAGCAAGGTAAGATGTGATAACCCTTTGAATTACTCAAGTCAGATTTAAATTCATCTTCAAAGTTACATAGTCAATGATCGCTTAAAGCCTGTGATATGGGTCTGACCAGGGTTGAGTTTTCATCACACGTGGATAATTCTGGTGTGGTGAATAAAACCAGCCTGAGAAAACAGCTGACATTTTGCGACGCCACCACTGGTTTCCCCGCGAAATGACGTCTGGGAAACGAGCACAGAAATTCCATACTGATGACGCGTCACTACCGAGATCTGGGTAGGGCTTCTGATTGGTTTAAGCAAATTTCACGTGCAGCACGACCAGTCAGAAACACTACCCAGATCTTGCTAACCACAGCCCACAGGTTTTTTCCATTGTTCTTTTTATTTAACCTCTGACTGGTTTATCGGATTGTCTTTGTTTGCTGTGATTGGCTTACATAATTAATCAAATTGAATTGAATTGAAAGTCTTTTGTCTAACACCTGTTTTACGATCTTGTGTTTTGTTTTGTCTCTTTCAGAGTAATGTAAGTGGATTCTACGATCCGGTCCTGACGAGGAAAAGATGAAAAGATGCTGCGAATAAGATATTTGTTCAGAGAAGCGGTTAAGGAAGCAAAAACAACATATTGTAAGATATCCTGCTGTATTCAGCCATTCGCCATTTTCACATAGACCATGATGCACATTGTTCCCAAAAAAAAAAAAGATATATTGCTTGACCATTGTCTCCAGTTTCTCCAGGGTACTACAGTCATCCCAAGAGAAATCGAAGACAACAGATATGCAAAATTTTGGATGTATTCAAGCGGCATTGTGGTCTGTGTGAAAATGGTGAATTTTCTCGTAGACTCTAATAAAAAAACGACAGCGATTGCAAGGAAAACATGAATAATAAACGAATTCTCGATTATTTGAAATTGCTCTTAGCAGTGCGTGCAATCATTGTCCACGTCCGCTATAAAACGTCGCTTTGTCGGAAATTTCACGTCGTAGTTGCATGGAGGACACTTAGAAATGTACCAGAAAGTGCGATGCACGTGCAGCGTTGTTTGTTTCTTCCTTTCCATCCTGTGACAAATCGTACCAACAATTTTCAGTGCATCACAGCAGTGCAACATTGCTGCGACATTGTTTCGAAGTGTCACAACATTGTTCCAACGTTGTTACCCTAAAAATTTTCGTTGCAATTTGCCTTGTGTAAGATCGCTAAACGCGGTTGGGAATCATTTGGTAGTTCATTTCCCCTCTTATCATGAATGAAATGTAGGGCAACTAGGAATGGTGCAGTGGTGAGGGCACTTGCCTCCTACCAATATGGCTACGGTTCAGGATTTTGAGTTTGTTGTTTGTTGTTTGCTGCAATTGTCCTATTGAAATTTGTAGTTGTGACAACGAACCGGGCTTGTTAAGGCCTTTATCGCAGCTTTTAATTTTAACGTGAAAGCAAGGTAGGGCTTGACAAAGAGTTTTTTGCTGCCATAAAATTAATGTAAGTTTATATTAGTTTGTTGTACCGCGGCGGGATTAACTCAGTCTTTAGAGCGCTTGACTGCAGAGAGGTCGCGGATTCGATTCCCGGTGCCGGACCAACACTCAGGGTCTTAAAATAACAGAAAATTGAAGGTACTCCCTTTCCACTGCAAGCGGCTGGACCTCGCGTGGCTTGGATGACCACGTAAAATGGCGGTCCCATCTCCAGCGGGAGACGTAAAAATAGTGTCCCTAATTAGCACTTTCGTGCTAAATACGTTGACACTCAAATATAAAGCGCATTTGTTGCCGCTGACTTCTCTCTTCTCTTTTTCACCCTTTAGCACTTAAACATTATCAAGTCCAGCTGGCACCATTAAGAATTTGAGACATCGCCCATATTGGTCCTCATGAAGACACAACAGTCAGGAGCTGCTGAAAAATTTCGTCAAATGCCTGCTGGTTGTACCTATGATCTCTTACAAAATTTTGCACAGATGGATGGTGTTTTATGTCAAGAAAGGAAATAAAGTAGAGTTGAATAATTCTTAAGGACATTCAACATTTCACGGCTCTGAATGATAATTTACAAGGCTGGTTTCAGTGTCTCAAGGCCAAATCACATTAAAAAATATTGGCAAGACATTTTTGTAAATATTTCATCACAGATAATCGTTTCGCAAATAAAGACGACAGGTACGTCATGTAAGACTTTGTATAATGTCCTGGGCCACACCCATATCACGGTCTGGGGACTGCGTCGATGTACGTTTTTTGGTCGGGGGATGGTTTATGTTGGAGGGGGGAGGTTCATGTTGACGAGGGTAGGGTTCATCTCGGAGTGGAACTGCAAAAGAGTCTCCAGATTTTGGATCAAGCGGTTGGCAGCAACCACGTTTAGAGCGGAATTAAAGAGGCGAGTTGCTTTGAGTCTCAAAGCAGGATATGAACTGGTTGAATTTTACATTTTTAGCGTTTAGAATGGACGCTGATTTCCAAATTTGAACTTAAGTAGCCAGGAATTAAAGAAATCCCCCAAAATAATGGTTCCGTTTTATTTAAAATGATCGTGTTACTATACCTCAACCATGACAGTTTGCCAATGGCCGTGATGTAAACGGATCAAAACTTGAAAAAATTGGGCCAACCTTTTCAAGTTTAACTCGTCTGTTAAAAAGAAAACACACCTCAGCTTTCAGTAATTGTAGCGTTAGTCTTCATGAAAAGCTTATTAAAATGCAAGGGGATTATTTATAAATGTGCAAGGAGGATAACTCACTTATCCCCCTTTCATACTAATACATATTATACATATTAACACAATCAAAGCCGCACCCAGCTTTTCAGACAGTTGATTCGGGGGTTATGTAATACACTCCCCTGAAAAAAAAAAACAAAGGAATCCGAGCTTATGTAAAAATAAAAAACAGGAAACGCAAGGCTCCATGCGCTGATTCAGTTCGATTTACACAGCTTTCATCAAGACATTATCAGTTTCGAGAATAGTTTTTTCTAAACCATAAGAAAATATGTATCAATTAGAACTTGGAATTTTTCGTTATTCCTCTTTCACTTTTCACATACAGTTCATCTTATTTGCCGGAAAGTAAGCGTTAGTTAGAAACTCAAAAGTTTCAGGTCAATTCATCCTTCCGCGTTCTAGTTTTTTTTTTAATTTATAGAATTACATCTGTGAGCAAGGAATAAGTCCGCACAAAATTTAATTGTCCGTGAATTTCTGTAATCGTTCTGCTAGTGATAAGCTAGCCGTTGCTTCACTCGTCTTGCTTGTTTGTGGACTGAGTCTTATTCCTCTAAAGAGAGAGAAACATTGTCGTGCAAATTGTTTCCAATCAAAGATTTATTAACTCGTGTCTGCCAAACTCTCCAAGTTAGCCCGCGACTAAGCTCTTCATATCGTGAAAAGTACGCGTGAGTGGCACACTAGCGGAGACGCGACAGCGGGGGCGGGGAAGTCGTCGGGAGTCGAACCCTGGACCATTAACGTGTAAGGTCATCGCCTTACCTCGCTAAAATAGACAGTTTGCGATAATTGAAAGTCATCTAAATAAATATTCACTTGCGAGTTAAAACAGCATGGCTTAACAGGATCGTAAACGAGAGCAATAATGCGTAAATATTTTACATTTTCAAGCAGACACGACAGATTAACATTGAAACTTACCTTGGATGAGCTGCATCTTGAAATTCAGGTCTTTGAAAACCCTCGAATGCTCTTTCCGCGGCGGAGAGAAGACAGAAATTAGCTGCGAAGTATCATGGGATATATGGATTCCCCACTTTGCCCTACCTATTGCCCCACGACAAGTGTTAAAATAATATCAAATTAATTTTCTTTATCTTTTTTGCCCATAAAATTTTGCTGATAGACGCTGTTTGAAGCTGCTAGAGCTCTATTTATCAAGAATTCATAAATATATTCGAGGAAAATAGGCAAGGTTTTGACGATAAAAGCCGTACTTTGACTCATTTGGTCGCATTTGAACAACTTATGGCCGACAAAGTGACGCTTTAAAGGTGTCTTCACAAGTGAAACAGTATTCTAGTATCAGTCATCCACAAATCGAGAATGAAGTGAGGTTTAAAAAACCTATTAAATGTCACCATATTTCTTTTTTAGTGATAAATGTTCGGTTGTGGTAACCACGCTGTAACAGACCTTGCAACGGATCAGATAGTCCAAAACATATTTTTTATAATAGCTTGACAAATGGCGGCCAGAGCGCTACGAATCAAAGACAGTACAGTCCAAGGCGGGAAAAGCAGAGTGCGCGCGCGATCTCGGGAGCAGAGTTTTTCCCGAAAGGTAACTCATGCGCAATGCTTTCGTCCATGGAGCTCGTAGAAAGACAATTTCCACGCTAAATTTCTTAAAACCTAGCCGTGCGACCTGGGTTCAGATTTTGAGGATTGTTAGAGGCCATAAAGACGAAACCGTAAACATTTTTTCAAACAAATCCTGTCAAATTCTGTCTTGATCCTTTACACAGTTTTGGCCTTAGCAAAAGTTCTGTTTATGGAATTTTCCTCTCTCCCTCTAAAAACAATTGTTTCTAAGTACTGAGATTTTCAGATAGGTTCGTACGGCTAGTTTTTAAGATAAACCCTTCTAAAGGTCTAGTTTCCAGTTCCCTTTTTGGCTGCTCAGTCACTATATTTCGCCTTATATAAACTACGCAATTAAATGTTTTTAGAAGGTAAAATAATAATTTACATTGAAAAAGTCGATAGTTTTAATGCAAAAACTGTAGTAAGCCACCTTAAGTAATTCCAAATTAACCCGCGAAAAATTTCGGGACTTCAACAGGATTTGAACCCTCGCGTTAACACAGACCCATACATATTGGCCCCGGCGCTCCCAATGTATGGATCACACTGCAGCGTTTATGCAGAGGCCACGGATTCGAATTTCGTTAAAGTCCCAAATTTGTTTTTCGGGTTAATTTTGTAACTGCTTAAGTTGCAATTACCACTGCAACAATCATATTGTCTTTTACAATTTGTATCTCACATCATCATTCTACAATTATTTAACAATTAATGAATGAGGCTGAGTATCTTATGAAGAATTATGGAGATCGAGGAGAGTGTAATCCGTCGAGGTCGTAGGCCGAGGCGAATAACACCCTCCGAGATCTCCGTAATTCTTCATATGATACGAAAGCCGAATTCAGTAATTGTTTTATTATTCATTCAACATAATTCCTAGTTTAAAACATAGCTAAAACATGCTTACCTGCATCAATGTTTGTTCGTCTTCGATAGTTCACGTTTAGGGTTGTTCAGCCCCGCAAATATTCTCTAAATAGCAGATGTTGCCCTTCAAGTTGTCTTCTTGCTGTTCTTGCCATGTTTTTAGCTATTATTTCGCCTAGTTCCAGCTGTAGTTCTTACTCTTGAAACGAGTAAAGTGCCCGCCATTTTTGTTTTCACAACCAAAAGAACTACACCTCGTCCTCTGGTTTTCTCGGTAACGGTGCCTTAACCTGTAGGGGGCTGCATTTTTGACGTCATTTCCTTGTTAAACACAAAATTCTTCCAAATTTGGTCGTCAGTAACTGGTTATGGTGAATTATGCGTGTTCGTGTGCTTTTAGCCAATCAGAATTAGGGAAATATTTTGAATGAATAATTAACAATTATTGGACGAGGTTGAGCAAAATATCGTGATTTGTCTGTGGCGAGCAGATCAATTATTTGCCGAAGCGCGAAGCTTCGACAAATAATTGATCTGCGAGATGCGAGACATTGACAAATCACGATATTTTGTGATAACCGAGTTCAAAAATTTGCTTCGAATGATAATAACAATTATCATTCGAAGCAAATTTTTCTTTCTTTTCACTGGCCGAGAGCCCACCACGTGACCTGCAAATAACTGCCTACAAATAATGGCTTGCTCATGCGCAATGCCGTCCAACTGTGTTTGGCTGCAAATTCTGCACATGCGTAAAGAAAACCGTGCTTTTCTCCTTCTTGCCATCGCTCTTGCGTGAAAATAGCAGATCGCTTCGCTTCCCGAGGATATTCATTAAAAAAGCAAACTCGGTGATCGAATGATAAAACAATTATTGAACTCGGTTATCGCAAAATATCGTGTTACTGAGGGAGTAATGACGACTCGAAGTGATCGGATGAAATTCAGGCTACACGAACGGTACAGAGAATTTCGGCTGTTTCGGTAAAAGAGGGACAAAGGTAATACATCAGAAAGTATAATCTTTTTTACCGAACAATTTCCATTACATTTCTAAAGCAGTAATGGTTCAAACGCCCATCGCCAACCCAAAAAAGATGTTCAACTCATGAGGAAACATGCACAAATTAATTGTTTGAAATAAAAGAAAAAACTGCTTCTGTTTATTGCAAACCAACTATAACGATATGTACAAGATGCATTTAATTGTTCGAGAGACGATATGATTAGACATAGCATTTACATGAGTGCTATATGTCAGTTTTTACATTAATAAAAAACTCGTGCATCACATTGTTAATATAAATTAGTTTTTACACTGAACGCAAAACCCGTACTATTCATATCTCACTTGGTTCTGCCTCTCTCTTAGCAGTGATGAGCCTAAAGATGGGGAGAAAGAAAAACGTTTCAAAATGCCTCCACTTTTAATTAAGCGAGGAAACAAAAACGCATTAAAACGGCTTCAAACTCGCAAAATTTATTTCTAAACTTCATTTGCATGACGCTCCTGTCGAAGTAATCGTTTTTATCAAAAGAAGACGAAGAAAGCGCTTGTATCAATTTCAACTTTGGTTGACGTACACAATAGTACATGGATGTGGCGTACCGAAAATAATTAATCACACATTCTGCTGTTCGTGTTTTTAAATCATCACTTACCAATTGGTCATCAGAAAGTTTATCTTCGTCGCCAGCCTGGTCGCAGCTTTCTTTTTCCACGGGCAATTCATCACCTTCATCCTCGACTGTTATAACCACCTCATCAACAGGTGCTACTGGCGTTTTAAAACATTCGGTGGATGAGTCACTTGTTTCGGTTTCCTCAGAAAGATTTCTTGTCAAATGACAAGAAGGGTTAATTTCCAGGCTCGCTGATTCCTCGGGTTTACCTTGTGATACAGAGGGCGACGAGTGAGAAAATTCCATGCCGAACGGGTCTCCTTCTTCCAGTTTAGAAGGAGTTGTTTCCAGGCTCACTGATTCCTCAAATTTTCCGGATAGCGCAGAGTGTGACGACGGAAAGGATTCCATGGCGAGGGTGTCTCTTTCTTCCAGTCCAGGAGTTGATTCCAAGCTCGTTGATTTCTCGGATTTTCCGTGTAGCACGGAGTGAGACGACGGAGAGAATTCCATGCCGCATGTGTCTCCTTCTTCCAGTTCGGGAGGAGTTGTTTCCAGGCTCACTGATTCCTCAGAATGCGACGACGGAGAGGGCTCCATGGCGAGGATGTATCTTTCTTCCAGTCCAGGAGTTGTTTCCAATCTCGCTGATTTCTCGGGATTAACTTGTAACGCAGAGGGAGGCGGTGGAGAGGATTCTACCCCTCCAGGAGGGGTTGTCGGTTGAGTAGTCAGAATATCTGAAGATCTGGTTGATTCTCCTTCTTGATCAAAAATAAGGACGATAGCCGACATGGATACTGGGGATCCAGTAGATAGTTCCTGTTCTGTTTCGTCATCAGAGCTTAGAGAGGATGAGGGTGGTAATCTCATAATTGACTGAGAGCAGTCGATATTTTGTGTCTCCGAAGTTACCTCAAGTGTTGGGACAGCTGTCAAGGATGGAGATCTCTGCGCAGTTTTATCTAACAAACAACTTACCGAGTTGTTTATAGAGTTTGGCTCTTTGGTCTCCACGATCGTCGAGAGCTGCTTTCCAAGTGTGTCTTCCAATTCCACACAACCTGCAGAGGGCTGAGACGAAGCAGAAAAAATATGCTTTTGTCCAGGAGGATCACGGTCTTCTTTATTCTCCACCTCAATTTTTATTTCATCTTCATTTATATCCAGAATAAGATCGTTTTTCGCAGACGGTTTATTGCACTCTCCAAGTTCAGGATCTTTCTTGAAGGATTTACTACACTTCCTCAGGCAGTGTTTGCTATGTACAAATGTAAAAGTAGAGGCAAAGGGAAATAGGTCAGCTGTTTAACGACGTCTATTTAGCATAGTATTAATAGGGGGCTTTAGCACTGGCGATGGCGACGGCAACTAGAACGGCAAACAAGCAATAGGTTTAAATTGGCAAAACAACAACTTTGCGCGTGCATCACGCGTTTTTGTACATTTCTTTGCCGTCGGTGCACGACTACAAGACCCCTACAATGTGAAAGTGCCTAAATTCACGTTTAGTCGAGGACGTGAACACAAGAAAAAGACTTTCTTTTTCTTTTCCTGAATTTCGATACAGTCTTTTAGACTTCAACTCCACAAAAACTTGCCAACATTTGACGAATTCAACCAGATGGAATAAGCGCGATAAAGTTTGAAGTATCGCGACTTCACTTTTTGAGTGACGTTTTCGTAGCCGTCGCTGTCTTTGTTAATTAAGCTCCTTACTAACGACTTTGGACAACGTTGAATTAGGGTTAAGGTTTATCTGCCGTTTGGCGTCTTAAGCAACACGTGATCTTGCCTTGAAAAGGTGCCTTTATTATGAAGCTGTCCCAAAGAAGAGGTTTCACTGTACATTCAAAGTTCCGAAGGAACAAATTGAATAGTCTACGTAATGGATCCTAATAATTTGGAAGAAGGATAATTCTAATACTAGAAAGCTCAGAAAAAATTTCGAACTCCAGGTTCCGTATATTTGGAAAGAAGACTGTTGTGTCTGCTCTACAGGTGCGCGTAACGACAGATTTGAGTATACAGTGAAATTCACAATACTGACACCTTTTTCCGCCTTTCGGTACGAATAGCACCACCCAGTAGCTTGGAACAGTCATAATTATTCGACTACTACTAAGTACGGAGCTAAAACCAGTCTTAGAGCCAACGGCAGTGGAAAGCGCTAAGTTCATTGTGTGTTTACTCCTGTGTAAGATGAGTTAAAGATGAGTTAAAAGATTTCAGGAAAATATTAAGAAAGGTTTAGACGGGACAAGCCTAGCTGAAACTGAAGCATTTCCTTCACAAATAGCCTATACAATAGCAAACTCGTCTGCGAAGTGTGACGCATTCAACATGTACTTAAACCTTAATTTCTGCTCGCTTCAACTCCTGAACAGTGCGATTGAGCAAAAACTCGTCATCGTTTTAATGTCTACTTTGCGCAAATAATCTCAATGGAACAGTAAAGACTTTTGACAAGTAAATTTTGAAACAACATACCAAAGACATAGAAGTGCTGTCAGCAAACCAAGCATCGCCAGGCCTCCACAAATTGCTGGAATGAGTATTAGTAGTTTTGGACCTGATTTGGCCTGTTTTTTATTTTCCTCATCTCCAGTATCTCGACTTTTCGCTTCCTCCTCTGTGAGGGAAGGTCCCAATCTTCGTTTTTTTCTGACTCGTCTCTTCTTTTGACTATCCTTTTGGAGATCGTCAGTACCATATGGCCATCTAATTTCCGACGACCCGATGTCATAATGAGCAACAATTTTCTCTAAGGCGCTCTTTGTCTTCGCTCCCTTATTTGTGCGATGACCATCTTCCATCACTCTGGTGAAGGTTCTCCTATGAGCCGAATCCTTTTTTTCACCCCTGAATCCTCCTGAGTCTCTGCTATAATTAACTCGTTCTTGGTCTGACTCGGCTCGGAAAGGCTGCGTTCCCCTCTGCGCCAAACGGTCTCTTACTCTCGCCATCAGACCCTCAAAGACCGAGTCCTGCACATTAGCACTGTATCCTCTTCCGCCTTTTTTATAAGCCTCTGGCTCGATAAAATTTGTTTCCTTATACGACGGAGCCTCTACGGCTGCGCCGTTTAGTCTTTTGACTTTGCCATAAGGAGTCTCCTTTCGTTCCAGCTCTTCAATGACAGGTTGCGTCCCTTGTACTCTAACCTTACTATCCTCATTGGACGAGGCATCAAAGGCTCGAGTGACAGCAACACCCCCTTGTTCCAACAAAAAGGGAGTTGGTTGTGCTTCTTCCCGTGGGAGACGTTCATGATCGTCTGTTACTTTGGGTTGTGCTCTCTTATAGGCTGCATGCTCTTGTTCAGGACTGTATGTTTTTCCGTTTTTGCCATACGCGGCAACCTCTTGTTCCATCTCAGCGGTAACAAGTCGCGTACGAAAGTTATCTTCGCTTATGGCAGCTGAACTGCTTCCCCTATCGGCGGTTTCGCCGTTTGGCTTTGATGACCCATCGGTGACTGCAGGACGAAAGTATAATCTTATTATTTTTAACATTGTTTCGCCAATCAATTTAGATGTCTTCCGAAGATAAGACAAAATATTACCTCTGGGGAGAATAGAACAATGTTACATACGGCGCTTCTGAATGAGGCACGAACTGAACTAGTTCGGTTAAATTCCGCATTGACTTAAAGATATTACTAACGTATGAGGCTATCAATGACTTAGCTCCTATACAAGTTACGCTCCGATTATGATAGGCTACTTCTAAATCCTCTAAAAATCAAGACTTTAACAGCGTTAGGAGATCCGTCTTTTGCCCGTTGCTGTTACTGTCCCTATGAAATTCATTGCCCTTTGCGATTAGAAGTGGCATCTTTTACAGTGGCGGATCCAGGTGGGGGGGCCGGGGGTCCCGGGGGGCTGCCCCCTTATTTTTTAACTAAACTGAGCTCCGAAGGGCGGAAAAAATTTTTTTGAAGACCGTCCCCCTCCTTATATCAGGGTCTGGATGACCGGGGCCCCCCCTTATCTGAAGGTGTCTGAATCCGCCGTTGCTTTAAGGTGGCTGAACACTGTTTTGGCAGTTTGTGAGTATATGTCATTTGCCAAATCATGTCAAAAGAAAGGTTGCAGCTCACATACTGAAACTTGGCAAGTGAAAATATACTGATGAAAGATTTTGATTGACTGGTAAAATGTGACGTTTTCGTAGTTTCCATGGCAACATGAACGATTGAATACAACCTTAAAATTTCAATTTTGCTCAGTTTACATAAAATTCGCTCATTAGATTTTCCTATAAACTTGCAGACAGCTTACTATAATTAATCATTACCATTTGAAACTTATTTGACCAATTTATAACAGACAGGTTTTTCGATAATCAGTGATATAATTGTACTGTAATTTTTAATTGTGTCACAAAATTCGTCTGTTCAACTTCCATTTTAAAGTTCTCATTATTTAAAATACGATAAAAGTAACAATTCTGCCAAATATCACAAAATTTTAATGAGTAGATTTTGAGAAATCGTCGTCTGTGTACCATTGCTTTTTTCGCCGCCATGTTTGTTTGTCTAATTTAAAACACGCGCCGTCACGCGAGTTACCGCTGACCGCCCGCAAAACTGTGTTCAGCCACCTTAAGAGAAAACACTCAACATGCTCAAGACATAGCAATATTGATATCGGCGCTATTGGCCAAAGTTCCCCTGGAATTTTTATGAAGAACATTAAAGCCAGAGAATTTATTATTTCAATAAAAACTGAAATATTATTCAAAATTAATTTGATGTTTAGGAAGCTCTACATTTATCGCCTCTTAGCGGGCGTGGCAGTAGAAACGCTTTTAGCCAACGAAACGCTTTTAGTCGAAATGCTTTTATCCAAGCGTGAGAGAGAAGCGTTGAGTCACCCTTAGGCGAGCAAAAAGATAGAAGCCGGATACCAATAACCCTGAGCATCTCCTGCTCTTCTCTCACTTGGCTAAACGAAAACGGAAACGACTTCTATGCAGGCTAATTGCCTCTTTCTTGATCGCGGTTGGCCTCTATTTGTTTGTGTCGCCGTGTATTTTTTTACAAAACGGCCTCCATTAGTTGACTGCATGGCCACTAATGTGGCTTCCCTACTCTACAATAGGTATTCTAAATGTGCTCTTCAGTGGTGGATCCAAGTGACGGGCCCGGGGACCCGGCTTCCCCTTTATTTTTGACCCCAGATGAGGCCCAAAGGGCCGACAAAAAAAATATTTTAAGACCCCCCCCTCCCCCCCCCCCTTATCTGATGGTCTGCATCCGCCGCAGCTCTTGCTTTTAATATATTTGTCAACCTTTTAAGCCCCAGCATTCACACGCCAATACTTGAAAGTGACTTCTTACATTTCCTTGACGAATTAGCGGTAAGGATTTTCATAAAAAGATCAAAGCATTTTCGCGTTGGTGATCATTTTGTTGAACCTATTAGTATTTTCCCTTGATGATGTATTGCCCGATATGGTCAGAAGAAAAATAGATGCTGGTCAAAACCTTGGCCCTTAAAGGGTTCACAAGTCTTTTATACACTTACTTGTTATCACTTTTTTTTATCATATTTTTTGTTATTTTATATCCGGTGAAGCTTATAAAACGAGCATTATAAAAACGTCATAACGGTTCGGGCTTAAAAGTTCAATGGGCTAACTGCTGTTTAACAATAACGAAGCCAGTTATTTCACACCTAAGTTTGTATTTTTTACCTAGTGTGGCAGAAACTGTAAACGCAGTTAGTCGAATCAAAAGGGAAAACGAACTCTGATAACTCGTTATCATTTGCTTGAACTCATCAACTCTTCTGTGTACATTTTTTTTAAGACCTCATGTGGGTTTTTTTTTCGGAAAGTAAGTAAATTGTTCTTTACTAAAGTGTAAATCTTACCTTTAAAAGCTGCACTCGATACCAGTAGACTGAATAAAATCAGTATTGAAGCCTTTTTCCTTTTTCTCATTTTGAACGAAAGTTTCGCAAATAAAAAATCAAACGCATTTCCAGTGGAAATGGATTTATTACTGACGTCACAAACACTATTTTCGTTTTGTCGTCTTGCACTGAGCCCGCGCGCGCTAATTAATGTGTGGACTCTAGTGTGGATCGAAGAAATAAAAGATGAAAACGTATCCCCGGGGGCATACTCCTTATAACAGGCTAAAAAGGGAGGCTCTGCCCGAAAGGGGTAGGGGTTTCATTGGTCAAAGTTTCTGAAAGAGTAGGAAAATCTCCCAGGGGTACTTGGGTTAATTTTTGCTGGGTATGTGCAGCTGGCCTCTTGGAGCCTCTTCCCCATTATAGTCTATTCTGTGACCAATTATATCTGATTATATACCCCATCTTAGTCACTTTGGGGCAAATACGTAATTTTCGAGATCCCAACTTAGTCACTTTCTCTTTTTATTAATTGACCCATTTTTAGATTGAATGAAGAACACTTTACTTTTCATCTGCAGTACAAAAGTTCTGGTATGTTTGCTAACCGTAAATATAAAAAACTGTCTTACCCCCAAAAAACCGAAAATGTGCGACCCCATTCTAGTAACTCGGTCGAAAATGAGACCCCATTATTAGCCTGCGAGCAAGCTCTCCTGTTTTGGCGAGTGTCCAGTCGTGAAAATGCGACCCCATCCAGTGGTACATCGCCATTAGCTTCTTATAAGGAAGTACCCCCCCCCCCACCCTCCCCCGGGGCGGAAATCTGTCATTTTGATCTGTAAAAGGACCAAAAAGCGCTAACATACGCATTATACGGACTTGAAACTTCAAGAAAACTTCCTGGTTTTGTGATTTATTCCTATTAAGAAGACGTTACTTTTATGGTAGTTAGAAGGGATTTGGTGTTCCAAACTAGGAATGTAAAAGGGGTACCATTTTTCAGTAGAAGCTATTCAAAAGGAGGAATAGGGTGTATAATCTTAATTGTGTTTGTGGGACTGTTGGCGAAGAGATTTTAAGGTAAGCAACGAAATCTTTAATTTATTTTATTAAGGAACGGGTAGCACGCGCTCTATTCGGTCCCTAAATCCGCTCGTGCTGGCCTTATCAAAATTTATACAACATTTTTGTTTAAAAAAAGGGGGCGGTATTATGGTCCGTGTATTTGCTTGCTGGCAAAAGGGATCCTTTAAACTTTTAGGGCCTGTTTACATTTAGGCGTGGGACCCCCGGTAGGTGGGGTAACCCGCTTAGGTGAGGTAATCATAATCTCTCATTTTAATTTGATCACCTTTGCATGCCAGGTGGGGTAACCAACCGCGGGTTACCTCTCCTACCCTGGGTTTCCCACCTTCATGCAAACAGGTCCTTAGTCTTGTTGCCTCTGAGGAGCGGCTATTTTTTTTTCCACGAAACAAAATAAATATGAAATGTTCCCTTTGTGTATTAAATGAGCTTACAAAGGGAATATGTTCTTTCCTATAGGAATATATAGACGTGACAAAGATCGCTGGTATTACGTAAAAAGATAACTAAGATAGTACGCGCGCTCTGATCGGCCGAGAGGAGTGTTTCCATGAGAGTATGTAAACATGGTTGTGGCGTCAAGATGTTTTGTTTTTCGCGCGCTAATCACGCAAGCACAAATTTGAAAAATTTTTCAAGTTCAAAATTCGACAAGTTTACTTTATTTACCCATTCCTTCGTCGGCTGAAACTTGTCGAAATCGTTAAAAAGAAGGTGTGTCAATTTTTTTTTCGCTTAAGCTGACATTTTAAGCGAGAAAAATCCGTATTTTGGAAAGCATCTCTTTGCAAAACAAGAACTGATTACGCGTGCAAGACTTTGTGTATAAGACTTTGCGACTGGTAAGAATTTGTCTTTTAATCGTGACCGTAACAAAGAGTTTGCGTTTTTTCTCGGAAGAGTTATTTTATAAAAGCCATAGAAAATTTTTTTCCTGTGTTTACATAGCCTGACATAAACACTCGAGGGATTGGGAGAATTCTGGACAGTTATGCAAACCCTCGACTTCGTCTCAGGTTAGCATAACTGTCTCGAATTCTCCCAACCCCTCTCGTGTTTATATCAGGCTATGCAAACACGAAAAACGTTTTCTATTGCTTAAATACTACTTAGTCTCCCACACCAACAACAATCTATCGTTTCCATTTCCGTATGGTCAAACTCTTAATTGTAACGAGCTTTTAGTCCCGGGGGGGTACTCCCATACAATACCTATACGGGTATGTGCCGCCCAACGGTGTCGTGATTTTGAAGTTCCTGATTTAGAACGGGGTATCCATTTCAGAGGCGTTTTCTAGCTAGAACGGGGTATAATTTTTCGAATGCGCGAAAGCTCCAGTTTTGTAAGCAGCCATTTGAAATTATTCGAGGACAAATTGCTTTTAAAAACACTGTTCGATGCGTTAACAAGCAAACTGTTGTACCCTTGTTGCACCCTGTGTTTTAGCGTGCAGGGCGTGGGCGTATTTTGGCGCGAGCGTATTTCTAGAACGGGGTATCAGTTTTAGGGTGAATTCTAGAACGGGGTATCAGTTTTAGGGTGAATTCTAGAACGGGGTATAAAAAATTGGCCCATTTCTAGAACGGGGTATCAATTTTAGGGGAAATTTTTTTAGAATGGGGTGCCAATTTGGAGTCCCGGGCGGCACATACCCACCCAAAAAATACTCAAGTGCCCCCCCGGGCTTTTAGTTCTATCTTCATTTTTCTTTTAGTCCCTGAGGAAGGTATGTTTTGAAACCGAAATACTGGGAAAATTTGTTTAAGTATATATTTTTTCTTTTGTTAATTTTGTTTTAAGAAACACTTGTGAAGGCAAAACCACAATGACAAACCATTGAGGGTCCGCCGGATCTTTAGTGGATCTGGATCAGTAAAATATTGACTACCAAATTTTCAATTGAAAACAGTTAACTGATCCTTACAGCAGGAAAAGTGATAGAAAAAATAAATAAAGGATCATTTCACTGTTTTATTTTGTTTACTTCTTTATCGCCTTGCCGTAAGGATCAGTTTGCCGCTTCATGATTTTCTAAAAGGTGTACCATAGAGGCCCTGTCAGGTTCAAGATAAAAAAAAAATTTTGATATCCTGTCGGATTCATTTCTTCTTGAATACAGAATTAAGTATTTTTTAAAACTAATATCACAGAATAAAAATTTGTTTCCTCTGGAAAAAGAATTCGTGGTACCACAAATGACAACTGCTCACCTCCAGCCTTAGACGGCTTTTCAGAAGAGCTAAAATAGACTAAATGACAAAATTGTTTAACTTGTGAAAGACTGTGTAAGACTCAAGACCCTGAAAGCCAAACGTTTTGGTTTGAGCGGCACATACCTATCCCACCCGGTCCCACCCTAGTACCCTCCTGTTACCCTTCTTGCTGTTTTTCTGCCATCGCCATGACGTCCACACGCATGCGCTTGGTACTCAGCTGTTCACTCATAATTCACTCATGGCGGACTGTGTTGCAAAGACGTTATTGCTGTGTCGCTTACTACATCAAAATGTACCCTTCAAAGCGTGGCGAAAAAGGTGTAATCCGACGTGCAATTTTATGTTGGGTACTTAGAACGTAAAGGCCTTTTCATGCAAACACGTAGTGGCATGTAAGAGCGGAACGTGAATGTAGCAAATTTTCATCTCATCGTTCACGAGGTATATACATGATTATGTGTAGGAATGTGCTTATTTTGCTGCCTTTCTAATGAAAATGTTACTGGAAAATTGTCACATATTTCGTCGTTTCACTTTAAATTCGTGCTAGGAACGAAACAATCTGTATTTTGCATGTTATATGTTAGGGTATCATATCATTATGTAAAAGTCCTCCCTGTGTCAGCGAAGCAGCAGTTTGAACGTCCCTCAAAGTTTGTATAGCTGGGCGCGGGTAACACTCTACCTCGAGAAATTGTATTGATTTTGTGCACCATCCTCTTGCTATTTTGCTTTACTGTCTTTCTCCGCGTGTTCGCCGACTCAATTTTACCGTTTACAGTCTTTGATCAATGTCCCCTTTGATAAACGTCGTATCAAATTTTGGGTGGGTTGCGGGGCATATCATGTTAGCCAAAACGCCTCCAAGTCAAACGTCGGGCGTGTTTCTTTTGTATTAGTGGGCTTATTTTTTTGTTTAGAAATACTTGCACGGTTTCTTCATTCAACACCCACTTTTTCTCATCCCTGCCCTGTATTTTTGCTTGAAATCTGATGATGAACAACAGCATTTTGAAATCTTGTACATGTATGTATTATTGCTCTTGCTTCACAGACTTTATTTGCCCTGAATTTTTGAAAACAGGTTACATGAGCTGATGAAACAACAGATAGCAACAGAAAAACAGAGTAAAGCAAGGAAGAGGAATTAAAAGAAGGGGTACAAAGAAGAAGGGTACCGTATTTATGATGGTTTCTGTAAATTTTATGCATCAGTCAATTCCAGCTGCGTTCAAACCCCCCTTGCCCTTGGAAATTTGCCTTCAAAGGCAAAAAATGCTAATGCCCAGGCTTGAGCCTGGGGGAGGAGAAGGGGGGTTTCTGGGTGTAGCTGGAACTGGCTGATGCATTGTTTTGTGCTGATGCAAATTAATTAAGGTCAATAGTAAAGCTTCAAGCTTGGGAAGATATTTTTGAAACAGCTGGTGTTTCCCGGGCAGGAAGCAGGTCTACGTGAGTGAAAATGTTTACTCGCACTGGCAATTCGTGAAAGAGAAAACGGCTAGCTTTGACTGCTGTGTTGATGGATAGATAAAACTTTTGCTCTTTTTCCATGAGTAGGTCACAGCGCACTCCATAAAATGCTTGAGGTATGTTCAATAACAATGTAGCACAAACTCTTCTGATTATATAAAATTTCCAGATACAGCTGTAGCTGCCCTCAAACTCTGAAATCTCTTGGTTTTTGTACTTGATTTTACCTTTTGCAGAAAACAGGTACTCCCTAGTCAGAAGGGATGTGTGCCGGCAACATTTTCTCATTTTTAAGGGGAGGAAATA